AAGAAGCATCTGAAGTGGGAAATGCCATTAGGCTGCCCATAAAAGATGAGTGCTATGAGCAGTAAAATGAGCTAAGAAGGAAAACATGATGAATGTTTTCTCGGCTTTAAGCAGCAAGGCCCCCTTCCACCACCCCGCATGGCACTGCATGCCTGGCTGAGAAACGTGGACCCTGTGCAGAGCCTGACTCAGGGAGTGTGGCTGCTGAGTTTCCCCTTGGGCCCTGGCTGGGGAGGAAGAGGGGGGTGCTGAGGAATGTGGCTTAACTCCTCGGTCACCTCCCAACCTCCACTGGTCCTTTTCAAGCTGAAAGTTCTTACTGAGTCACTGGAGGAAGTACTGAATTGCCAAGTTACAGAGCTCGCACGCCTCACTTAGGAAAAAGGAATCCATAGTCATAGGGCCAGGAGCAGCAGGAAGACCATCATGAAATTTGACTCAAGAATGAACCATTCTCTCCCCCAACCCCACTGTCATAGCTCCTTGTCCCAAACAGAATGTGTCTTTACTCTGCTGTCCTCAACCCTCACCCTGAGACATCCTCCTTTCTCTTCATGCAGTTTCTATGAACTCTTCGAAGTTCAATTCAAGTCCAACCTTCTCCATGAACCCATTGCTCTTTGTTATAATTCCTATAAATCTCATTTTTTAAAAAGTACAGGAGTAGAAAGGCCTGGGTTGGAGGTCTGTCTGTTATTTGCAAGTTTTGTGATACTGTGCGCATTACTACCCACTGTGAGTTTTTGCTTCCCCATCTATAAAATAGGGATTGAAACACAAATCCTGTAAGGTGGTTTCAAGGATTATAGGACATTACCTTGCATAATGTGTAACATGTAATAAACACTCAATAAAAATTAGTTTTCTTTTGAAATTCTATAGCATATATGGTCTTTACCACCAGTTTAATACTTTCATTGTTCGCTGTTTCATGTACATATATCTTGACTCCTCAGCCAGGCTGAAATCTCCAAGAAGGCAGGAATGTTCTATATCCCATGCTACATAGAAGAATTCTAAAAACATAGTAGAACACTGGCCATAATTAATAATTTTGCTTTCTTAATTATTGTTCATTATTAATCTCTTATTATTAATTGGTTCTTTGGCCATTAGTTTTAGCCTTTTATGATGCTTCTCATCCTCTGCTAAGGAAGTCATGAAACAATGACTTTGTTGGGACCATAGAAGGTAGGTTCACATTTAAGGAGTCTCTGAATGGCCCCAGTCCCAGAAGACTTTGGCAAGTTAGTATCAATGCTACAAAACCATTAGGAAGACAAAAACACCTTCCTCCATGGATGCAAGACTAGCAGAGCAAACCTTCCAGTGATGACACAGATGTCCTCAGCACGAGTTAGAGTAAACAAATTCTGAGCTAATATCTATATTTGCTGACTCAAACATAACCCACTTAGAGCAGCCTAAACCCTGTCTAAATGAACATTCATCCTCATTCCTTGGTTGCTCTCTATCATGCTATTATTTTTAAGTTCCTCAAAACAGTTATGGTGATCTGATTTACTCATAGTGTAGTCAATATTAGTCTCCCACCAGACCACTAGCTCCTTAAACACAAAAACACGTCTGACTATTCATTACTATGTTCTCAGTACCTAGAGCAGCACTTAACACAGAGCAATTAGCAAATTTCACAAGTTTATTTCTTTATCTCCTCCATGAGTAAGAGACAGAGAGATAAGCACCTACAATGGGGTCTCCATGCCACGATTCACAATCAGCCCCAGATCACGGGTATGTGTGTGTACCCAGCATGCACAAGGCGGCCTCAGGATGCCAACCTGGGACCCTTCATGGAGGTCCTTCATCACAGAGGGTTGTGTCACCACTGCACCACTGTCTGGCCCTTAAATAAATATTAATTGAATTGGACTAGATGAATAAATTAAGCTAGTCATGGGCATGAGGGCCAAATCTCCAAATGATGATCATAAGCTAAAAATCTTTTGTTAAATTAATCTTTGTGGCTGGGTTTCCTTGGAAATAGCCCTAAAATACTATTTCATTCTTACCCTACCATTTCTCATTTCCATCTTCTTTAGTAAATTAATACAGCAGAGCCTCTCTAAAATCCTCAAAGTACTGTGCGATGAATCAAACATGTAGTATCAACCAAACAACTCTTTGACTCTCAGCCTTCAACACTCCTGCTAACAAAGAAAATTCCATAGAAGGAAATATTCATCTATAGACAGCAAGAAGGTTCTGAATGTCTAGTTTTAAGCTTGTTTTGAGATGCTATCATTTTTCTTCCAAAAAATTCATTTTATCATCTTTTTTATCATTACTTAATTTTATTTTTTATTATTACTATGTTTTAATTTGCTACAGGGCACGCATGGTCACCAGAGAGAGACAGAGAACGAATGAATGTGAGAAAGCAAGCTGCCAAGTTCGGGATTCAAATTACAGTTCCCCATGTGGGGAGTCCAGTGTCTTAACCACCATACCACCTACTGGCTCCCATTTTATTGTCTTTTAAAATGTCACTTTATATTGTTTTATCTTATTTTGACCAGAGAGAGCATGAGCTCTCCAGAAAGAGAAAGTATCCCCCAAAGTGACATGGTTATACCACAATCCTTTATCCTCTTTTCCACCTTCTTGCCAGGATTTTGGGCATGCACATACATACCTGGCATGTTTTTCAAGCCTTCAGGGCCAAGATTCAAACCATGGTCAGCTATGTGGGATTCAAGCCCTAGTGAAATAGGTCCAGTGTAGCAATCAGTGTAACTGTCCACCAGGAAAACCCAGCATTTGAGTAAAAGCAGAGATTTCAAGTCCTGGCTCTTGTGCTTGCCAGCCACATAAGGACGAGCAGGTCACAATCTTTATATTTTACCTCCTCATTTGCAAAACAATACTTCCTGCCCTCTCTGTCTTTCATGGTTTGTGAGGCTCAAATGAGATCATTTGTTTAAGTGCTTATAAATTACACAGACCCAGTCTCTTTATTAGTCTACGCTGTCACTTGGTGCCAGGCAACTTAAAAATCCCTCTTCTCATGTTGTAGTAATGAATTCAAGTGGGAGAGCCTCTATGAGAGGTCTTCAAAAAGTTTATGGAAAATACATATTATAAAAACACTATACCTGGATTTCAAACTATTTTTTTGCATTAAAGTAAACCTTTAATCACATTTTTCCATGAATTCTTGAAGTCCCCTCATATTTATAATTAAATATACCAAGCACAATTCAGCCTCAAAGGCCTTCTTCCCTTAACCCCTTAGAATGTCTTCTTCCCTTTTTTTTTTTTTTTTAAGAGGTTTTTGCCTGGGACCAGCAGTTAGCGTAATGGCTATGTCACTGGACTCCCATGTAGTCGACCGCGGTTCACATCCCGGACCCGGTGGCTTAAAACTCACGCCAGGCACGTGTGCGTGCGTGCCCAAGATCCTGAGAGGAAAATGGAGGAGAAGGGATTGTGGCGTGGCCATCCCCCCTGAGGGGGGGGTGATTTCTCACTTTCTGTCTCTCTGTCTCTGTCTGGCAAGCGCACGCGCCCTATAGCATAAAAACCTCTCAAAAAAAAACAAAAAGAGGTTTTTGCCTTAGGGTACATGCGCTCACAGTAGAGAGACAGAAACAATGAGGGGGAAAGTGAAAATCACCCCTACAGGGGGATGGCCATGCCACCATCCCCATTCTCCTCCCAGGATCTTGGTGACACACACACATGCACCCAGTGTGACTTTCAAGCCACTGGGTCTGGGACTCAAACCACAGTCATCCATGTGGGAGTCCAGCAACATAACTGCTATACCATCTGCTGGTCCTGGATGTCTTCTTTCTTGACTGCCCAACTGCCTTATGGGACTTCTGGGGCTCTAGCAGGATGACAGTGTTCATTGCACAGAGCTGAGATCAAAAGGCTGTCCATCACTTGTTACCTGAAAGCTTTGGTCAAGTATTTAACCTTCTGTGATCTTGTGTCTGGGTCTATAAAATGATGGTTTAAAAAAATATCTATCTTTGGGCCATCCCTCATGGCCAACTTTGCAGTTCAAGTCCCAGACTAGGTGGCTTAAAACTCATGTTGGGCATGTGTGCATACGTTCCCAAAATCCAAGAGGAGAATGGAGGAGAAGGGACTGTGGTGTGGCCATCCTTCATGGGAAGGTGATTTTTCACTTTCTTTCTCTTTCTCCCTCTCTTTCTGGAGCACATGCACCCTATAACAAAACTAAAAAATAACTAAAATAAAATAATACCTATCCCACAAAATGGTGGAAGGATGAAACAATCATGTAAAACATGGTATAGTGTCTGGAGCATCACAACAATGCATGACTCGTGTATGTTTCTTCAGCTAATAGGAAAGCAAACATCCCATTAGAGTAACTCCTGATTTTGGACCAGCAGATTGGCATGGTGGTTAAGGTGCTGGATCCCACATGGGTAACTCTGTGGTTTGAGTCCCAGTGGCTTGAAAGTCACACCAGGCACATGTACATGCATGCCCAAAATCCTGAGAGAGGAATAGAGGAAAAGGGATTATGGTGTGGCCATCCCCCCGAGGAATAATTTCCCACTTTTTCTCTCTCTGTCTCTCTCCAGCAAATATAAATGCCCTGTGTGTGTCGGGGGGGGGAGGGAGGGAAAAACACAGTTTCAAGTCCTAGTTTCTCTCTGATAGGCTATATAATCCTGGACAATTCAATCTCTCAGGCTCAGTTACCAATTATAAAATGAAGATGATAATATTTGCTTTGCAGGGGTCATACAAAGATCACAAGGGGTCGTATATAAGGGGGGCCCTTCAAAAAGCTCATGGAAATGTATTTTATAAAAAACTACACATGGATTTCAAAAACATTTTTGCACCAAAATAAACTCACATTTAATTCCACTTTTCCACAAACTCTTCAAAGTGCCCTCATATGAAAGTTCTATAGTCATTGTAAAACATAATGCCAATGGTTAAAGCTGTTATTTAGTTTGGCTGTATGAACAAACACACAGGAAACAATGGCAAAGACTTTATTTAGCGGCTTTTTGTGCTTGGCACTTAGAAACAGAGTTCCGTGCATAAGGGCAACTTTTTATACACCTTTTCTTCATACATATTTTACATACCCTTTTATTGCCCCCTTTTTTTAATATTCATAATATTGGATTCCCCACTAGGCACATAAATACATTTATCTACAACACCTCAAAACCAAAAATCTTAATAATATCTGTATTATTTTACTTGGTATTATTTGCATTTCCACACCATTTAAAATTTTAGCTTGCACCAAGCTTCACTTGTTTTCTTATTATTAAAGGGTTTGAAGGGAAAGGGGGAAAAAAAACTTCAAAATGCAATGAACTATTTGATAAAAATGGAGCTCTAAGGGCAGGTGGAAGGATATAGAAGACCCATCTGGCAATTTCCTAGAAGATGACAGGACTTCTGCCACAGAGGCCAAAGGGCAGGTGATCCCGCCTGGTGTCTAGAACCAGCATGCAGAAACACCCAATACTCGTCACTTCTGCTCTTGGTTTGATCTGCAAGAATATAAAACTTTTCCTTCTTCACATCCCTTCTACTGCCCCTCCCCTGCCAGGCTGCATGCTGGGGAACCACGTTCCCATATGGTGCACCTCTCTTCTGGAGCATAATGGTCAGAGCCATGGGATAAGGTGCATTCCTTGTTCTATCCCTCTCACGGGTGCCCTGACCACGCACGATGTCCAGAGAGGTTTACTCCTCAGTAACGCCATGCTTCTTTCTATAACCTGTAGGTAGGGCAAACAAACCAAAACAGATTTCCTTGGTGAAACGAGACTCTCATTGTTGCTCACACTTTCTCTCTCAGTCCTCTCCACTCTTTTTCTTTCTCTTTCTCTTTCTCTCTGTCCTATGCAGCTGCTCTTATGCCGTCTTTTCACAGGCACCACTGGGAACATCATTGATTGCATACTGAATGAAGAGAGCCAAAGTTTAAAAGCAATTTTTTTCAGGAAGCCAAGTCCAGTTAAGTACTGATGTCTTTCCACCCTCAGCAATGGGGAGAGATTCCAAGATCCATGGTTCATTCCAGAAACAGGGTAAGCTGCAGGGAGAACACCCAGTCCATCTAGTGTTGTATGTAGACAAATTCTTGGTGAAAGCACCTATTCTGGGCCTTCCTCTACAGAGTTCACCCAGTTCAGAAGGCAGTGTGCATATATGTTTGTGTATGTGTGAGTCTGTGTATATGTGTGTGCATGTATGTCTGTATAGGTAGGTCTGTGTGTGTAACTTTTCATGGCTGCTACACGCTAGCATTTCCCTTAAAGTTATTATAAAATGATTATTCAGTCTCTTCAAAGGCCACTCTGAAGTAGACAATGCTTTATAAAATGAAGGTCTGGCAGGAGATTGGCCACTGCATCATGAAGGATTCCACCACAAGTAACTTCAGTGGCTTAAAAGTGTCTTTCGTTGATCTAAGGTATCTGTTTTCCTCCTCTAGGAAAAAAAAAAAAATACACAGTTCCTGTTTTCCAAAGGCGTTGGGCTCCCAAAAAGGAGGATCTCTCCTGGAGATTCTGGGGCCTTGACTTTGGTAGGCTCCACGTGTTTGGCAGCCTTTAAACCATGTGTACTGACATCTGGGAGGAGGAGCCTGGGACTGCCCCATACTGCCGGCCATCACAGGTGTTGGGCGCCTGCTGATTATTGGGTGAAGGACTGATCATGTGCATGCCGTGCTCCATCCCTGCAGGCAGGTACTGCCTCTCTCCAAAGGCTCCGTTAGAAGGAGAAGAGCATAGTAAAGTGCTTTGAGAGGCGCTCAGTTTTTCTGGGCTTGCAGCTAGCCTGGGGGAGGTGGGGAAATTGTATCCATACAGGTTGTAGGGGTTGTGGAGGGAGAAGGCATTGTAGGAGCTCTGTTGCATGTGGCTACCCCCGAACATGTGTGGTGAGGAGGAGCTGGAGGGAGCGTTGCCTGCTTGCATAACATACTGAAACTGGGAAGTGGGGAAGGACCCCAGCTGGCCACCATAAGCTTCCATCTTGCTGTTGCTGGGCAACGAAGGAGGAGTTGGTATTCCTGAGATCAGGGATGGAGTCCTCTGAGGCATGAAGGTTTCGGAGGGCTGAGTGGCTGATGCAGTGCCACTCTGGAGCTTTTTTTAGCCACTGTCACTCAGCCCCGGGTAGCTCTGCAATGCAGCCATGTTGCTTCGGGCACATGGTGGATAATCAGAGAGGTTTAGATTGCACAGCTGGCTCTCTCGACAGCCTACATTAAAAGTGTTGGGGGCCAAATGAAAAGTTGGAGGAGAACAGGACGGAGACAGAAGATGAGAGGAGGCCGATGGGGAAGGTGTTCCTGTGCTGGAAGTGGTTGGGGAAGTGCCTGTGCTGCCCCCTGAAAAACAAAATGGGAACACCATTGAGACAGAAACCTTTTAAATGTCTAGGCCAAATGGCAGCCACATAGGAGGTGACTTCAAACGTCCAAGGTGGGCTGATGTTCACAGAACCACTGCTTTCTTGGAAGACAGCAGACTTACACTAAGTGATTCCACCTGTGCACACATACACAGGCATGCATGCACATGCGTGCACACACACACACATACTGTAAAAGAGGGTAACAGAAAAGAACGTTATACTTACTTTTATTCATCTCTGTAAGAGCCTGAGCAAGGCTTATTTTTAAAAATAATGATAAACTTTCCAGTGTTAACTTTGCCAGGTCTCCCTATCAAATTCACTTTCTAATAAGACCACTGTTGATCATTTTTTTAAAATTATTTAAGTTTTTTTTATTATTGTTATTATTATTTTAATTTACTACAGGGTATATGTACTCACCAGAGATAGAGGGCAAGTAAGAGAAAGAAAGTGAGAAAGGAAGTTACCAGGTCTGGGACTCAAACCACAGTCAGCTTAACCACCACGCCACCTGCTGGCCCCCACCGTTGATCAGTATTAAAACCCACTTGCTCAATTTTTCCCCATACTCAATGGAAATACATTAAATAGTTTAACCAGAGGCTGTTGCCTACTTTACCATATTTTACTCTTCCAGTCAAAAACTAGGATACCATAGCAAGAGTTTAATCACAAAGGAAATAGGGTATTAGAGCAGTGTGAGGCCTGGAGAACAGAGGATAAGAGCTCAGGAAGGGAAAACTGGGGTATGGGACTCAAGTTCTGTTCTATGAAAGACTTTAAGAGCACAATGTTAAGAGCCAGGTTAGAATAAAGCAAGGCTAACCCAAAACAAAATAATTATGACCCAGGACTATGCTAATCTCCTCAATAGGAGACCGTCCACTCTTAGAGACTGGAGTAAAAACTTTGAGTCCTTCAAGTTTGGATATATATGGGGACAAGAATTCAAACAGCCCATAAAGTGACCTGAAGGTAACGAGATCGGGTACCACTCACAGCTTCACCATGCTAACCACCCATGTGACCCTGGACACATCACTTACCCTCTATAGGTTTCAGTTTCTTCATCTAGAGATGAGAAACTGAGTTAGATCAATTGGTGGTTCTCAAGCTTAGAGAACCTGCAGCTTTAAAAATGCTGATGTTCTAGGATTCTACCATGGACCAACAAAAGGAGAGTTTCTGGACATGGAACTTTACATTGGTATTGTTTTAAAAAGCCCCCCATGATTCCAATGTGCAGTCAGGGTTGAAAATCAATGATACAACCTGAATTCCTCATTTCAAAGTACCCAGAATAGTGATTCTTAAACTTAGGTGTGCATGAGGAGCAGTTGGAAGTCTTGCTAAAACACAGATTGCTGATTCTGAGTTTCTGATTGTTGTAGGTCTAGAGCAGGATCTGAGAATTTGAATGTCTAGCAAATTCTAAGATGATGGTCTAGAGCCCACTCTTTAGGTTAGAATGCCTCCAGATTCTTTTCATTTCCAAAAGCCCCTGAATCTCGAACACGTCAATTTTATGATGTATGGACATCAGATCTGTAGTGGTAATTGATGTACCAATAGTCTAAGGGCCAGTTCAACGCAAACTACTTCACGTATGTCTCAGATCATTGAAGAAGGCCCCAAATTACCTGTGCAAGCCTCTTCCTTCCTGAGACCAGGAAGCGGCAGCATCCACTTCCTGTCTTACCCAGTGGAAGCTAAAGATAGGGGTGAGTGTTGAGTACTGTAGGGCCCTACATTTGTTGTTGTTGTTTTGCCAATAAGTAAGCGCACATGCGCACACACACAAGAAAGATAGAGAGAGTGCTCTCCAATGGGACTTGGTCACATTACAAACCCTTTTTCCCTCCATTTCTCCATCTTATCAGGATTCCAGTCATGCCCAGAGTGCCTGGTGTATTTCCTTTTTCAAGCTCAGGCTAGCTGCAGCTGGTCATGTGAGATCCAGTTTTCCATGCACGGTACTTAACCATCATGCTATGGGGCAGCCCTAGACCTCCATTTGAATCTCAGAATGAGCAGCTGTTCTGTCTTCCATAGGGAATATCCCATGATGGAATTCCCTCCCTCACAGCAAAGTTGGGACTTTCTCAGAATTATTAAGAGCTGTGATCCCCATGGAGCATGATACCTTTTAATTCACCCATAACTCACGTTAAAACTCTTAAAATCTGAGCACTATATAAAGACAAAGGACATTTTAGGTGGAAATTTTCAGAAATACAGTTTTTATCAATGAAGGAAACCAGCAGGATTCCAGATCTTTTAGAACACGGACCATCCACAATGTTCTAGGGAGGGGTGGGGGCCCCAGATATGTGAATTGAGAAGTAGATGTTTCAAAGAGCAACTTAAAGTTAATTTTTAGAAGGAAAATAAAAGCCTTAGCCTAGATACATATATAGGTATGGTAGTATTGACTGTAGAAGCACAAATTTAGCTCTTGTTAATAGATTTTTTTGAAATCCAATTTTTACAAATATTACAACTAATATCTCTTTCTTGGTCAAAATAATTTCCCCAATGTACTTTGAAAGTATTGTAGAATTGCATTTATATATAAATAGCTATTGATATTAGAGTCATTTCAGAAAATTCTCCTTCCTTGCAACTCATCCTAGTTCACAACTAGATTGTTTTAGAAGTAAAAATGTTTTTATTCCACAACATGAGAGAATGTTGACATTGTAAATACCACTACAAGTTAGCCAGGTAGTAAGAAGCTGGATTCTAAGTCCATTGACTCTCTCTATCCAGCTCATGACCTCAGGCAATGCAGGCCACTTCTTAATTCTCCTCAGCTGTGAAGTGAGACCTCAGTTTCTGTTCTTCTTAGCATATATCTGAGTCTAGAGACTAAAGCAATACAGCATGTGAATGGCCAATGACAAGTACTTTCCATGACATCATTTTAATATAATAAAGGAGTTCTGGAAAGCAAAGATTCTATCAGGAGGAGGATGATCCTCTCATGCTTCCTGGTTTTGGACTGAGTAGACTAGCCTACTCTGTCTTACAGACAGTTTAGAGAGTCATTTTCTGCAAGCATGTACTTCCTCTTTGAAGCATCCTACACATTTTTCTCCTTTTCCACCCTAAATGTCATGAGCTTTACTGAAATAAGTGCAATGGCACAAATGGAGAAACTTGACTCCAGCTGTAAAGAGATTCGTGTTTTACAAGATATGTATCTGGTCTCCTCCCTTTGAAAGTCGGTCCTTGCTCTCCCTGATCTGGTGTTTATGTGGTCCCCGAGGAGACCACCTGTTCAGCACTCTGTACTGTCCTGTAATAGGTACGCTCCATCAGGCACTGGCCTTACCCCTGCAGCAGGAAGTGCGAGATGGAACAGATGACTTTCTACAACTCTAAATGGCTTTCTCAGATGGCCCAAGATGGAACGAATGGTACTGATTTAAGGCCTCAGTTGGTTTCACTACAAAAAAATAAGAAGGGAACTGTTAACAAGTTACAGGGACTCTGCTGAGCAGATGAGAGGCACATGTTAAAAAGTTTGTAGTCAGCTTGCTTGGCTTTTAAATGACATTCACTGTAAATGAGACTTGGTGGCCTGCTGAGCTTCAAGGAGTGGGAGCCTCCATATGAACAAGCCTTTGAAAGTGGGGAGCAGGTTGTCCAAGAGCAGGTCACAGCGCTCCCATTTACTTTGAAAGAAGAATGCTCTTATACACTTAAAGTACTCAATACAGAGAATAGCTGTTTGTCAAAGTCGACATAAAGAGGAGACTATGGTATTCATTTTGCAGAGAAGCAAAGCAAGATACTGAGAAGTCTATATTTTCTCATGATAGACCAGCTTGTCAATTGTTAAACAAAATGGGAATGGCAGCCAATGTAAATAAGCATAAAGAGGCCACCTATCACCTCCTGCATCTCAACACTTGGCTAACTAGAGAATGCTCGTCACAGAAAAGCTAAGACTGAGTAGGAGAAAGGCTGCACTGAGACACAAGGGGTCAGAACTGACTCTCAAAGCAAAGGATGACTCCCTTTCCTGAATAGTGCTTTCATCTCTTACCCTCATCTCCCCTGTGCCTTCCAGGTCTTAATGTGCAAGGAATATTTTTTTTGAGAGGTTTTTGCTATAGGGCGCGTGCACTCATCAGAAAGACAGAGAGAGACAGAAAGACAGAAAGTGAGAGATCACCTCCCAGGGGGGATGCCACGCCGCAATCCCTTCTCCTCCATTCGCCTCTTGGGATCTTGGGCACACACGCACATGCGCCCGGTGTGAGTTTAAGCCACTGGGTCCAGGACTCGAACCATGGTAGGCTACATGAGAGTTCAGTGACATAGCTATTACGCTAACTGCTGGTTCCAGGAACCTTGATATAAATTTTATTTAATGGATGAACAGAGACTATTGGGTCAGACAACCCTGGTTCCAATCCCAACGTACTGATTATTAGACCTTAACAAGTTGGCTTCTCAAGCATCAGATTCCTTAACCATATAAATGGAATTACATTTGTCTACTTCATAGGAATGTTTTGAAAAATAGATGAAATCATTGCATTGTGCTCATAACTACTTGCACATAAGAATCAAATATTCTATGTACTAGAGAAGAAGGAGTAAAAGAAGGAGTACGGAATCTTAGAGCATTTGGGTTAGTGGTGATGTCTCTCAGCGCTGTCTTCTGTCAGTGGAGCTAAGCATCATGGCCTCTCCATACACTGAAGAATAATATGTTGTAACTGACATGCATGGCATTCCCTTTTGAAAAATCAATGTAATACACTGTAAAGTTATATGCAATCCAATGTAATATAAACAAGATTATGATGATAATAAAAAAATAAATATTTTTTTTAAAAAGAGAGAGTAATACATTGTAAAAGATACATGTGCCACTGTCATAGGCTAAAGGAACCTTTGTGGATGTGAATGATGGAGCACTGTGCCAAGTGATAGCTATGAGCCCACCTGGGCCATATT